ACATGTATACACTAATATGTATAAAATAGATAACTAATAAGAACCTGCTGTATAAAACATTTTTTTAATTAAAAAAATTTTTTAAAAGAACAGCTGATTTTGGGTCCTCCAGCAGAATCATCAAGGTCCAATTTCTCAGTCCCACTCTCTCTGTGTTAACTCTCATGGCTGCAGGGTGGCTGCCCTGAGTTATGTGCTTCTTGGTTTGTGACCAATGGGGAAGAGTCTTGATTTTTGCTTGGACTAGTTTAGATCAGATGCCTGCCCCTGAAAGCTCCATGATGAGAAGGGCATGTAATACCCAAGTTGTCCTAGACCCGGAATTCACCCCTACACACACACACACACACACACACACACACACACACACACACACTCCCATGTGTCCCGAGAGAGGTAAGGGGATGGATCTGACAAGAACTGTGACATGTCTGAGATTTTCTCCTACTTCAGATTCACAAGTTAGCCTGTGACAATTTCATGAATGCTGAGAGAAGACATGAGACTCTGGGGTCAGAGGCTATGTCAGGGTCCCCAAGACGAGGTCCAGTGATTCGATAGGAGGATTCACAGGTTCCCACATATAACTGTGCTCACAGCTCTGAGCCATCACAGTGAAAGGAGACAAAGCAAAATCGACAGTGAAAGCGCACAGGTGGGGGAGGGGCGTGAAGTAACAAGGAAACCAGGCTGAAGCTGCTGAGAGTCCCCTCCCAGAGGTCACACAGGACACCCTTAATTCCTCCAGCAGAGCTGTGACAAACACACAGGCAATGTTGCCGGTTAGGGCAACTCTTGAGAGCCTGGCCCCCAGTGTCTTCACTGGGGCTGATCATGCAGGCAGCCTCTGTGTGGCGTGGACCAAAATTCCAGACTCTCCAAAGGAAAGCAGGCATCCAGCATGAATCACATCATTTGTACAAACAGTTTAGGCCCTTATCAACTCTGGGGATGGTGAGAACCCTCCTCAAATCCAAACTCCTATCCAAGCACCAAAGCCAACCTTGCAAGCAGGCCTTTCTAGGGAGATTAGTCAGGCCTGTTATGTCAACTCTCCTGCACAGTCAAGGGGCTTTTCTTACAGCCTCGCAAGCAGATTATGTTTCTTCTTTGCATCATTTCCTCACATCCCTCAAGTCCCAGGGGCAATGCAAAGGTGGGCAAAGGTGATTCTGTGCACACAGCGGGTTTGCATCAAAGCCAAAGAGAAAAAACCCTGAACACAGGAAGCCCCAATCTTTTATAGTATCTGTGTAAACCTGACCAAGCTTTGCCTCAGAGGGAGACCTTATCTTTACGATATTGGACAGCAAACAATCCTGTGCTTCTGCTCTGGAGGGAGAGGTTATCTCTGTCTTCCAAGGCAGTTTGTTACAAACATCCTGGAAAAGATAGTCTAGAAAAAAATGTCAAGTCAATGCCTCTGCTCAGAAGATGTGCAGAAACACGAGAGACCCTTGGAGCGCTGTGTCCCAGCTGGAGCCCCTAGCAAAGTTAGCAATGGCGTTAGGAGGAGGGGTTGCTCCAGGGAGACACCAATAATTGTTTACTCCAGGGGGCAAAATGATATTTTACACATGAGTGATAATAACAGGATGTATCTATTAAGGGATTACTATATTCCAGACACTGTTCTAATGCTTTAGATGTTTTAGCTCATTTAATCCTTTAGAAATGACATGGTCTCCAATAGGTAATGAACAGGTCCCAAATGGTTTCAGAATACTATGTATGTATGTATGTGAGTGGAGAGATCAAGCAATGGAGAGATAGAGCCAAAGAGAAAGAGAAAGACAGAGAGAGAAACACACACACACAGAGATCTGGAGCTATATCTATATCTATATCTATTTCTTTTTTTGAGAAGAGTTCAAACCAAGGAACTTGGTCAGCAAAGTACAAAACCATTGGGTGTAAAATAATGAAAACTGCTGCTCTTAGCTAAATGTGTTTCCTTCCTTTTTTTTTTTTTTTTAAAAAGAGAGCAGTTGTGGGATGAGTTTCCACTGATTAATTCAATAGGATAATTACTTCTGAAAAAAAAACTGTAAAGTAGGATAAAATCATATTTTTTAGCTTTCATGGGCTATAAAGGATTTTTCTCCAACGCCTAGACTTCTGTACTGTTTCCTCTCCAGGTAGGAAGAGGAAATGGTGGGTGGTACGGTGGTGACGGTGGTGGTAGCAACTTGATCTCAATTAAGTTCAATTTCATCCGGAAGATGGAAGTGGTAAGAAGCCTTGTTTAGAGATCTCCTAGTGTGATAAGCACTGTGGACCCAAGCACCCAGTGGCAACTATTTTTCTTAACAAAGCATCTTTTAAAAACTTTATGTTCTCCCCAGGTATGCACCCCATGTCTCCTGAAGCTGCCCCTTTGCAAAAGTTGCCCATTTATGTAGGTTATTTGCTAATGCCCTTTTCCTTTCATTCATTCAACAGATATTTATTGAGCACCTCCTATCTGCCCAGGCCTCTGCTAATCACTAGAGATGCTGCAGGGGCCGAAGCAAAGGCTCTGCATCATGCAGCTTTCATCCCAGCTGAGGGAGATGGAAAACCAGGGCCAGAACGGGGTGAGGCGAGTGAGGCACTCTCTTTGGATGGAATATGTAAGGGGGGCTCCCCCAAAACTTAGTCATCAAGATAAATTATACTTTGATGGCAAATTTTAAAAATCTAAATCAATGCAAAAAATCCATGGTGAATAAGATATCAAAATTTAAATTTATAACATGGTATCAATGGTGGGAAGTGCAAGGAAGAAATTAAATCAAGGTAGTGGGTAGCATGATGGAGGAAACGTGCTCTTTTAGATGGAGAGGTCTGGGAAGATGACTCCGAAGAGGGGACCAGGAGCTGAGTGATGCATCGCTGAAGGGAGCTGGTCTGGCAAAC